ATATATATGTATGTATATATTAATAGACAGAATGTCACATTGTGACAACTTTCTTTACACGGCATATTAATACAACTTCAACAAAATGACGAAATAATGTCTAACTAGAAAAAGAAAACGCCTGTCAATAATATATGGGGAAATTTTAAAAAAATAAAATTAGGCGCACTCTATATCGATCGATAAAATCATTTGTTTCTTTTATTTAATCAATTAAGTTAAATAAATGATCGATCATTTAATTTGAAAAACTATTTTAAAAATATTTATTTTTTAAAATTTCTCTGTACTATTATTCTTGAACCAAACATCTTTATTTTCATTTTATCTCTCACTTATTTTCATTCACTGTTTCTCTCTCCCATTTCCATACATTGATTTATTTATTTATTTCATATTTCTTTCCTTCCAACCAAAGTTGATCCTAAATTAAAATACAGTTGTTACGAATGTTCTCAATAGAAGAGATAAAAATAAATAAATAAAATAAAATAACATTTTGATTTTGCTGTTTAGCTGTTCGAAAACAAATTCACACTAGAATTAGAACGAAAACAAATTCACGTTTGTCTGCATATCAATACCTTATTCATTCGAGTAACCCTTAATAAATTACTAATAGTGTTGCCAAATTAAATATTATCAGGATTCACTTTTTCCCAATCTGCTTATACTTTCACACACCACTTAATTTTCAATGTCGCTTCAACGAATGAATGAAGCGGGGCTCATAAATTGAAATATTGAAACGTGGGTCACTTCCAGTCCGAATTCTCTCTGACGGTCTAACCACCCTCCTCCCGACATAAATGAGTATTGCAATAAGAAAACTCAAATTGACCCAAGCATGCAAGTTGGCATGACTCTAAAAACAGTTAATGCTTACATTACAAATGTCAATGTTTATTAAATGTTTCCTAATAGAGGACTGAAACTATTGTATATGGGCTGAAAATTCAAGGTCAATGATGAACAACTACCCCAATGAATAAATATATCAGAATGCTGACAAATGTTTGTTCCGCTTTTTCAAGCTAACCGGGCAGTAACCAATAGGGAAGGGGCATCAAATACCCATGAATGTCTATTCACCAGTCAGAATTAACTCCAGAATCAACCATTTTCAGCTCTATCGTAAGCATTTGATTTATGCTTTGGTGCAAATGTAAAGCCAACTGGAACCTTGCCAAGTAACATCTCTGATATTCGTATCTGTGTATGAAAAGGAATATGAAAAATACGGGGAAAATATGAAAATGAACAAGTAAATTAATAGGGAAAAATGAATATGTAAATTAAGAAAAAAAATTCTTTAGCAGAGAATGAGGAACTGGGATATTATGCTATGATAAGATATTTAAATAGGAAAAATGCTCAAAATACAATATGCTTCATTAAATTTATAGCCATGTCTATTTCAGAAAATGATTTCATATTTGACAGGCTTATTGGTACTTTTCATTGTCTATTCACGCTCCTTTTTTTCTTTTTTATTTTCAGCCATTAAACTATTTATACATCAACAGACAACAGCCAAGCCTTTTTTTGACACCAGGAAAGGACGGGTAGACAGATGAAACATCAATGTTCTATTGTGAATTATGTTTATAAACTAAAGACCCCTAAATCCTTCTTGGTTACACTTGTAGGGTTTTTTTTGGGTCTCGCTTTACATACTAGGGCTTCTCAAGGTCTTCTACATATATGCCCAAATCACCTTAAGAGATTCTACCATTTTTATCAACAGTAGGTGCTACCCCATCTTATGTCCAATGCATTCATTCCTAACTTATTTTGTCTAGTATGTCCATTCATCTAACGCAACATTTTCATCCTCAACTTATATAAAACTTTTATGTATGCCAAACATTAATTAATTATTGTCCCTATTTGCTTGATCAAAGATAACTTAACAGACTAAAAATTTATAATTAAAACCAATCCTTAAAAGTGTAAATAAATAATTAGGAATTGTTCTTGGTCTCATTATTAATCTTTCACAGACACATTTCTCTACTCCTACCCTGTGTTGAATAAAATAAAACATTTTTTTGCTGTTTGAGGCAGCACGTGCCAGAAAATACCCTCATGAAGTCACTTTCCCAAAGAAATTAACAAAGAGAGTATTAATAACTTGGAAAAAATGTGAATTGCATACCCAATCAGCTGCAGAGTCTGAAGCCATTAGTGTCTCAAGCTCATCACGCCCATGGTAAGATGGTGGCCGCCAGTTTATTCGTTGTGGAACAACATCCAAAAGACCAACAGGTATATACCTACAAGTGTAGCTAAGCCATTCCAACAAGAACCGCCTCGTCGTCTCAACCCCTGTAACACAATATATAAAACAAAAACTCCACAATTATAAGAAAACAAGGGAAAATTGGCATACTTAAACCAGAGAAGCAAAACATAAATAATACTTTCAATCAAAAGTCAAAACTTAATTATTGCACCATATATATACATATATACCAGAAAACTTGTCAATCTTAAGCAACACTTCCCAAAACTGTATGTTTCTAAGTCCAAAACGCCCCTTCCCCAACACAAACATTGTATCTTTAGCAAGGAAAAAAGACAAGAATCAAGACTGTGTACAAATCATACATACTTTGCACAAGACAATTAAAAGCCTTTACCTATTTTTGTTTTTATTTTGAGGCAGGTACCAGTAGCTATTGTCACTATTTAACAACAGCTGGAAAGAATTGCAATATGCATATAATTATAAAATAAGGCTACTTCATCAATAAAGCATACCTTTCGTGTCAGAACCCCAGTGTTCAAGGCCAAAATTCACAAAATCTTTAAAAATATTTAGACGCTCTCCAGAACTGATGTCCCAATGTCTCTGTTCCTTTATCTCAGTAAATATCCAAGGCTGCATAACACAGGCGTTAGTTGATACAATTAAAAAAAAAACGTCATGGTCAGGCAACCATAATGCTTCCAATGAAGACAACTAGCATGAGACATAATACCCAATGATAAACTAAAATAGGTGAGATAATGATCAGTTGAACAAAGGTGCTACTAACTTTAATCAGTGCCCCACGAGCAACCATGCATGTAGCAAGTTCAGGACATTCAGTTCTGTGGTTGTTCCAGTCTACAAATGAAAAAACATCTCCATTCCCCACTACTTGCAATGTAGCAGGGGCTTTTCTGGTACACTGGTAGACGTAGTCC